CAGCTTTACGAACCTAAAATTTATTTAAATTATTTATATTATATGGATAGTTAGATTTCTTGAGATATAACATGTTATTATCGAATTATATGTCTGACAATATGAAGCTGTAGTAAGTAAATTCTACTTTAGACAAAAACCGAATGCTGTCATTTATTGAGATGATGAAATAAGTTTTAGTCATATTATAGCTTTTCGCTGATTTCTTTAATATACAATACCACTTTCTATTTATTTAATCAAATGAAACCTTCTTCTATGTTTGTAATGTATAACATTGCCTAAATAGTTATTACTGTATAAGAAAAATCAAGAAAATTTCGATAATCATGTTGATAGTAGTTTCGAAAAGATAATTTCTCAACGAACTCTTAATCCTTTTGTTGCAGTGATTTATCTACCGGGAGGGCAAGGACGGCGGCGTCCTTTCGGAGAACAATTTCGCCCCCCCCCCCCCCCCCCCGAAAAATGCACTTTTTGTGCTTATACTATGTATTTGCCCTCCAGAAATTAAGTTTTCATCCTCCCGGAAATCGCTGTCACACTCTCGAAAGGAAAAACCTAGATAAAACACTTTTAATAATTGCTCGAATATATTTATTTGCAATTATCTATTGAATAGAATACTTCGTTCACAATATCTACTTAACATAGTAATTAAAAAGCTATATATTACTTAGAGGAAAAATGTCATGGCAAAACGATTTATGTATTTAAGACAATAGTCAAGAAATACTTCAGTGATATCACTCTCATTGAAAGCTCGTAAATTTTAAACTGCGTATCTCAATTATACGAATTGTCTTATCATAATATCGATCAGATTTAAAAAATCGAAACTTACTAGATTATTAATTTCTTTTTCGCGATCAGGTGCTGATCTTGCAGTTGCCTAAAAAAAATCATATTTAATAAAATAATGAATATTATTATAAAAGAAAAAGAAAGAGACGTGCTTTTGACGGATTAAATTAACTGAAGAATTATTTTTATTGATTTCTTATGATTTTCATCATAAAACATTTGTTCCTATTTATATTATTGTCATAGATAATAAGACGTATTTACTTTATTCTAAATAAATATCAATTCTATTTGCGCCGGGTATATATTCAATTGAGTTAAGTAAATAGAACATATCCATTTTTTACCTGTATTAATTCTACAATAATATAAATAGGAACAATCTGAGTTATATGTAGATATAAGAAAACATTCCGAAGAAGAGAATATCATGCTTAATCAACTCTACCTCACTGCACTATAAACGAGAAAAATTTCGATTTTTTTTTGTTCTGTTATTTCCAAAGGGAAATTTGTTTTTGTCTCAATAATCTAGACTTACCTTAATCATTGTTGATGTTTGCATATCAGTTAATTTTTTAATACATCGTTGTCCGGGAACAATGTTACAAACCTTTAAAAATAAAAATAAATAAAACATTCTTTTAATTCAAATTATACTTCAAGTGGTAAATATGTATGTTTTTGTTCTTGACCAACTTGTAAACATGGTAAATGTGGATATTGTAATTTCATATGATGTTTTTCATAGAAATATTTAGCAACAGTACATTCAACTGTTTGACCACTTTCAAGTTGAAGTGGAAATCTATAAGAAACAAAATTCTAATTAGGTTATTCTTGGTAATTAACTTACGTTTGATATTGTGCTGGTTTTCGTGTTACATTACAAACACGATATTTACGTTTCATATTACCACAATGAGTTATTTCGATTTTAAGACCTAAATATCAATAAATCATTTAAAATGACAATAAAATAATCTTACAGAGAGGAAAAAAAGATGTTCGATATTTTCTAATACTCATTCTAATCAAGAAATCTTACCTTTGATTTCTTTTGTGAATTTCACTCGTTGTGCATCATTTAATGGTCGTCGTTGTTCTTGTATATCTCGTATATCTAATACTTCACACATAAAATCAATCACTGGTTGTGATTTATAAAAAGCAGTAGCACTAACTAAAAGAAAATGTTTTTTTTGAGATCAATAAAAACAAAAGAATTCTTATTTTATATACCATCAATGTTTAATGACATTCGCCAATAAGATGGTCGAACGGATTGATGAAAACCAAACCATACTTCACGACCACCACCCAATGGATTATATTGAATATCAGGTGGTGAAAAAAATGAACGACCAACAGGAGTATATCTAAATATAGAAGATTTTATTAAACAAAAATATTTCATAGTAGAGAAAATATTCAAATGTCAATATAAAAGCTCAAGATTTTTAACCTGTAAAATCTGTTGATAAGAAAAAAGATAATTGAGATATATTTTGTATTTTCAAATTTCTCTATACTACTTACTTCATGCTTGGTAAATGTCTCATAATAACATCAAGTGCTGAAACAGCTTCATTCGATACTGGTGGTCCACCATGTCCTTGTAAAGCTTCTTGTAAACTAACTAAACTAACTTGTGCAACCCATTTAATTTGTACTTTAAAACAACGATCACGTCCTTCGCCCGGACCTGGTAAAGTAACTTCAAGTTCAATACGCTCACGACCAAATGGTAATGGATCTTTTGTATATAAATTTCGTTTTCCATCAAATGCTGGATGTTGTGTATTGAAAATATTTTGAAATTTATTAACCATTGTATCAATTATTTCACGATTAACACGTTTTGGACATTTATCTGGTTGTATATTAAGATCGTAATGTTGAATAAGTATTGGAGGTATACGAATTGAAAAATGATTTGCACGTAATTTTATTGCACGACCTTCACGACCAAAATCTGGTCGAGGAGGTGGTGATAAATCAAGTGGAGGATTAAGCATTGTCATTATACCACTTCCAGGTGGTGTTGATGAAGAACCTGATGAACTTGCACTTGTATTAATAATATTATTTTGTTGTTGTTGTTGTTGATTATTTCCATTACCATTTCCACTACCTTGTAAAACTGCAGAAGATGTTGGTTGACCAATAGGTGGAAGAAACATTGTGAATAAACAATTAAGAATGTATAAGCGCGTATGTGTGTATTTGTCAAAAGAAGACGAAAAATATGCGTGCCGGGGCTCACATTCGACGAACCATACTAAAATAAAAAGATTTTCAAAAAAGATATATAGATATATTTGTAATAAATAAATAACATGTAGAACATATGATTAGGATGAAGGTAGCAATCAGATAGTATATACAATGGCCTCGGCCATTAAGGATTATCTATTCTCTATACATGCGTTCTTATCTTTGTTTAAATTAAATAAATAAATAAATATACGAAAAAAAAACCTTGAAGAAAAAAATAATCATATAGAAAAAAATTTAAAGAAGAAATAAAAATAAATAATAGAAAATAACCGTTAAAGATTTTATAGAGGTCGCTAATTGATAGCAAATTGTGATAAACTCATAGTTTTTTTATTATATACTATATACTTTAAGAAGAATGTGAGTGTTTTAGTCTTCTACGATTGTGTCAAAAAGAATTTAATAAATATAAAAATCGTTTTATAAAAAAAAAGATCAATATTGCTTAAATATGCTCGTTGTACATGTCCTTCTTAATCAATATTATGTTTTAATTTTATTGTTAAATATTGATTTAATATAATATTTTTCTTCTACTCTATCCGAGTGTGTTATTAATAATAAATATATAAATAAAAGAATAGAGAAAATAAGTCGACATTATTAGTCACAATAACCAATGATATTATCATCTAATAAAATGAGTCTGTCTCATGATATTCATATATTGGATACCGATAGAATATGAAGGAAAGGTCATTTATTTATGCTTATTGACATAGAAGATTATCTAAATCATCCTTATGTCACATAGAACTTCGATTATTAGTTTATTATCATCATCATTATAAATAAATGATCTTTTGAAGAACACAAACGATTGAATGTAAACATTTATTTTAAGACATTATTAGGTGAATGATAGTAATTAAAGTTTGTAAATTCGAAGAGAAACTTGTTTAAATATATTTCACGTTCGGAGCAATGGTAAATATTTACATTATATTATCTATTTTTCTCTCTCTTTCTGTCTATCTATATATTCTAATTCAAGTGGTGACATACAACGAACATTGTAAATAAACCTCTTACTAAATATAATTCTTGAATTAATTATCGTTTTTATTACACAATTAGTTAAATAGAAAGACCTTGAATTTCTATTTCTATATTGATCAATAAATTTAATTTTTATTCTTTTTCTTAATATAAATAGAATAAATAAGACAGTTGTATTTCATAAAAAAATCTTCTAAATTTCTCTTGTTCTATATATTTATTGCTGTAACCTTGAATATATTGCATTATCATGAAATTATGAATGTCATTCATCGTATGATTATTTAAAAATAGATTGAGTAAAAATTTTTGTCTGTGTCAATTAATCATATTATTACTTTTTACATAGTAGTAGAATGACATTCATCAATGCATATAAAATGAGTGTTTGCTGAAGTAAAAACTAAAAAAAAGGCGGGCAATATACACTTTTGTCTAAAAATTTTTTTAAATAAACAATCAATCTGTTTGAAAGGTGTCAAAGTAAATAAAACCTGATATATATAAAAGTCACCAATGTTTTATACAGGTTACGTTTTTCGGATGGGCGAAATGAAAATTCAGAGTGGGTGAATCGAAATCTGAGGTGGGCGTCGCTCACCCGCTACATAAAACACTGCATGTGACTATCTTATCTACTATATCAAACGTATATGATAAAGAAACGCGGGATAGTCAAGCGAAGAGTATAGATCTCTGAATTATAAATAATTTAATTTCCTTTATCCGTTGATTTCTCAATCGTAAATATTATTTTTTTGAACGATCTATGTATTTCAATCGATGCATCAGAGGCATTAACAACTAATAATACTATCGATAAGTTTCTGTTGGTTTTCTCTTTGAAATGAAACCCGAAACAAAATTTATTAATAAAGTTAAAAAAAGAGATTTTCACTTTATAAAGAAAATATTAATCAAGCATGTTTTGAAGGTATAATTGATTTAAAATATAATAACGATGTATTGAAAGGATTATTATCTACTAATTCATTAATAGTTGTATTTCCTTGAAGATCATCTCCAACTATATGATTTGACATTGATTGAATACGTTCATCCATGGTTGGATTAGTCCATACCATTAATGAAGGTAAAGATTTTGTTCGAAATTTAATTGTACGTGTGGGATGCTTTGATATTGATTGCGCTGAATGACGAATATATGATGATGGTACTGATGGTTTAAGAATAAGATTAATAACAGGTACATGCGCATCATGATCAGTTGGTAAATTTATTTTAGGATAAAAATTATTCTCCTAAAAAAATACAATAGTGAATTATTTATTTTATTTTTAAAATTTATACTTCTCGTTTAATTTTGTTTATTCTCGAATTTTTCTTTTCGAATTCATTTCGATCAACTAAATAAAGATCATCATTATTTGATTGCATATTCATTGGTAATTGATTACGAAATATTCGTGCTAATTTATGTTTAGTAATAAATAAATGATTGTTAGCAAAATCATTTCGATAATATGGGTTATGTCCATCATCACTACTATTCATAGTAGTTATTGCTGGTAAAAATGATTCACTTGCATTAAGACGTTCATAGGAGGATCGTGTATTCTTTAAAATTGGTGCATGTGGATGGTATAATGGAGAACGGTATCCAATTATTGGTTGTCTCTGACGATGATTATAGGTAGTAAAAAATCGTGTATTCAAATTCATCTCTTATTGTTTTTTGTTTCTTTTATTAAGTAATTTTCATATTTTTCCTTAATTTAGTTTCTCTTTCTATTTCCGCTACAATGGCAAAAAAAATGTAAAAAAAAAAGAAGGAAAAGAAAACTATTGTAAATAATTGGCTTTGTCAATAATAATGTACTTTTCTCTTTGTTCGTTATTTTTCTTTAAATATAATATTTATTCAATGAACAGAAGAAGTAGAAGAAGAAGAAAAAAATAGAAAGAAAAAATTTAATTTATTTTTCTTCGTTCTTATTATTACATGTCTTCAATATCCGCTCGTAAATAATCAATAAGACGACTAATTTCAATAATACGTTTACGATTTCGGTTATATTCTTCATCTTCATGAATATTATCCACCATTGTTGTTAACCAATTTGATATACGTGAAAACATTTCATCTTCACGTTGATCGAGTTTTGATCGATGAATTTCATCGGATGTTTGACAAGCATTCAATATTGTATCTTTATCAGCAAATAACTATTAAAAAAAACGTATCAAAAGTTTTCTATATAATATGAAATTTAATCTACAAACATCTCGTGTTTCATCAGGAAATTCATCATCGAGTTCACCTTTCATATACCGTTCAACAGCTGCTACACATAGATTAATAATAGATTCATTGAAAAATGCTTGTAATTCTCGTAATAAACCAAAATTTGCACGCATAGATTCTGTAAAATTTGAAACCATTTCACCTAAATTTCGTTCAAATGTTTGAATTGTTTCCTAAGAAAATTATATTAAATATGTATAGTTTAATAAAATCGATAAGGTTACTTCTAATTGATCGACAAGTGCAATTTCTAATGCCATTAATTTATTACGAAGATTTGTTAAAGCGTCATCATATTCAGCTGCAACTGCTGATGATACACCTTGTTGTTCAAGATCTTCTTTTGCCTATAAAAATAAAATATTTCAAAGATAATAGAAGATTTTCTAGTATTTGGTTTTTATACGAAAGAAAAATTGAAACATTTTAAGAACTGTATTATCCTTTTTGTAATGAAAAAAATGTTACAAAAATCTATCAAGCTTACTATCTGAATGTTCGAACGAAGCTTATATTTTTTCTCTATACCGTGGAAAATACTGTAACTCACGAGGAAACTTTCTCAGATGTTTCAGCCCTTTAGATCTCATCTTTTAGCGATAGGTAGACTTCTAGAGGATTTATCCTCTCGCGCCTTAATTTCCGAGATATTGAGGTTTTGATAAGGCCTCAGTTTTTTATAGATGTTGGAGAAAATATAAATATTCGAAAAAATTCATATCTCCCAAAAGCTATGTTTTAGAAAATGTAAAATTTTGTGTACAATCTAGTCTAACCGAGGCTACAATATGTTGAAAGTCTTAAGTCCAACATTTGACGGCACGTCTTTGCTTACACTCTTGGATCCTATAGGAAGAATTCTACAAAACCTCGATATCTCGGAAGATAAATTCTCTAGAAATTTTTTCTACCTCATTGAGGTCTAGCTATCGCCAAAAGATGGGACATAAAGGGCTTGAATATCTGGGAAAGTGCCCTTGTTAGCATTTTGTTACCATCGCGAGTTATTAACAAAATCCGAAACTATGGATAAGCTATCTATACTCTTATATTGTAAAAAACTGATTACGATGTAAAAGGCTGGCCAAAAAGCCTTCAACAATCGATCCGATCGGTTCGGACGTAAATCCAATGAAATTCATAGATTCTTGGAAATAGATATACTTGAAAGCCGTGTGAAGGACCTTAGTAATGAAATTTATTTACTTGATAAGTAATAAATATTATTAAAATTTTCGATTTTTTTCAAAATAAGTTAATAAAGTAACTTACAAATAATTGTGTTCTATATTCTTTAAATTCATCAACAATTACTGCTGCTCGACGTGTATTTTCATCTTTTGCTTCATTAACACATATCCAAAAATCATCAATTTCTTTATCTCGTGTTTCTTTTTCCTGAACAAAATACAAAAAAGTAAATTTTCATTTCGTTTATAAATGAAATTTTTACTTTTAAACCAAATTCAAACATTGTATGAACAATAGCAACAAATTTTTCTTCAATTTGTGCTACTAGTTCATCAGCACCGGGTACAAGAAGTAATTTTTGTCCTTCAGAGTCGTCTTTAAACATTGCTGTAAATAGTTGATTTTGATCCATATTTTCAACAAAAGCTTCCTATTAGATTCAAATTTCTATTTTTAAGTATTTAAATAAATTTAGAAAAACATTTCTACTTTATGTAATTGATGTTGTTTCTTTTTATCATCAGATTTTTTATCTTTTTCTCGATCTTGATCTTCAGTTGTTATTAATTGTTGAATTTGAATTTCATATTTTTTCAATGCTTCTTCTCTCTAAACAAAAAATACAATTTTAATAAAAATTAATAGTAAGTATTATAACATACAGGTGCTTCATCAATAAGTTTATAATCAAGAAAATGTATTTGTGGTAAATGAGCAATTGTAAATGTATAATAATCTGGCTTAGATGCAAATGGATTACCACGAAGACAAACAGTTCGAAGATTATCAAAACGACGTAAATAACGAATCTATATGATAAAGAGACAACATATACTGACTTTGTTCAAAACTGTTCATATATAGTACAAACAGTAATAAAATTTCTATGATTTAGAATCTACAGAAATGAACGGAATCATGAGTTCTGAATGCAATTACTTAGATAATACTTTTAATGGAACTATAATAACAAAAAAAATAAATGTGAAAACTTCGGATTTTATCCGAGAGTGATGTGTACTGCAAAAAGCATGTATGGAAATGATAGAGAAATATCAGTATTTTTGCAATAACTCGAGAATGACTCATCCAATTAGCCCCAAGTTCGAACTCGACTGAGATCTTAATGAGACTGAATTGTGTAGAAAATCTCATCCAAACCTGCCTCTCCTTTCGAAAGCTTTCGTGTATACGGCCAGCCAAACATACTGACCGATTCTAGAGTGTACTCACTTTTTGAGTACACAACAAGGAATAGTAAGTTATACAAATGTTTTCAAAGTCTTATTTTTTTAAAAAGCTACTGACTATGCAAATTTCGTATTTTTATAACATTTATCCCCGATCTACTATTTTAGTATAGACTATGTATGGAATTTTAAAGATATTCCAAAAACTACTCAGATATTTTAAATCATTTGTTAACTGTCGATAAATTCTCTACAAAATATTTTCGCGAATTATTTCCACTGACATTTGAATAACTAAAAAGAAATATCGAAATTATTTTTTTGGTTTGTATAAAAACACGATTAATTTTAATATATCGTTTAAGATTCCTTTCAATTCAAATAATCATATTAAATTGACTTTATTACTAAGCTCGAGTACAATTTAATATTCGTTATAAAATAATGAACTTCGTTTATTTTAACAATATTTTCTTACTAACGCTATTTTCGTCGTCGACTTGATTGTTTCCAATAGAAAACACATTGAGTTTTTTAAGTGTATCCATATTTTCAATATTTGTTATTCGATTATTATATAATGATAAATCAGTTAATTCAGTTAAAGTATCTAAACCTTCAATATTTGTTATATTATTAAATGAAAGATCTAAAATAAAATTATTTTAATACATACATCTATATTTTTATATTTAATAGTTTACCTAACCAAGTTAATTTCTGTAATGTATCAAGTCCTTCAATACGTTCAATTATATTATTATCCATTTGGAGTTTTGTCAAATTACTAAATAGCCAAAGATTTTCCATTCGAAGAATACCTAATGAAAAGACAAAAAACAATAGAAATAACATTTGTTTTAGAAATTAATTACTTCGAAAATCTAAACGAAGTGAATTCACAGCACTATAATCTAATTTATCTTCTTTTGGTACAACTTGATTGTCTCCATCAGCTCGTAATGATTCAACAGCATTTTGAAGCATATCCATTGATACAACTTCCGGTTCGATTGCATCGTATAATCGAGCCATTTTTCAAATACTAAACTTGTGGATTTTTGTCTTAGTGACAATTTGATCAAAGATGAAGTTTTCATTTCTTATGTTCTTTTAAATTGGTTTCTAGGAGAAATGATAAACAATTTATATTGTTTTTTTTTGTAAAGTATCTTATATTATTTTGAAATCAAAATTTTTTTTAAATCAAAAGTTAATTATAAAAATAATTTATTAAATTCATTTATTAATATCGATTGAAAGAGACATCTATCGGTGGTATATAATGAATTTTGATGTTATATATCAAAATCAATTCAAATACTGTTCCTATTAATACAGTGGCGAATCTATGATTTTGAAAGGGGGGAGGGGCAATATCGGCTAAAAACTATTTTTTGGGACCGATCGAAGTAGGGTGAACCTATTTTTTCGTTCATTTTTGCTGTAAAAAATCTAAAAACAGTTTCTGAAGGGAGGGACGACCGTCCCCTGCCACTAAATCCACATCTGCATTAACATAAACTGCTACAGTCGGGATTTCAGAATTTGACCAACACACTTATAGGAAATTTGCCAATGTCCCTATGGGATTACGTATATGTAAAAATAGCTCCTAGTACCTATATTGAGGAGTTTAAACGATAATATGCTTATTCTAATAATACTGAATTCATTTTTTACACGTATTCAATGCAAATCTTATATAATTACAGTTGATGAGAATCTGCTGCAGTTACCCATGTCATTAAAATCGACGATTTTATCGTAATTAATCGGCCAATTAATTATGAGATCTATCGCGATTAAATTGTTAAAATAGGCGATTTTTTGAAAAGATCTTGATTCATAAAGGGTTCGACGAAATAATCATTTGTTCACTGTGATATGATTGTCGGTTTCTTCAAAAATCGCGATTCACCACCCAAACTGAGGCGATTTCAAAGACATGGGTACGCCTGAAATTTCGCTAATAATGAATGTTTTATTGATGAAGAGACAATAAACCCTACAATCATTATAACTTTCTTGGTCTATATTGGACATATTTATTTTAAAAGCTATTTAATTAAATTCATAAGATAAAAAAGAAAAGAATTTCTACTGTTGTGTGTAAATAATAAAACACAATATATGATTAAAAGGCATACATAATTAGAAAAAAATGCTGAATATTGAGAAACAAAAAAGAGAAATTATATTGTAAAAATAAAATTCAACGTTCTAAAAATGTGAAGTATTATGGTCATTTGGATCATATTTTATTTTTATTAATCCAGCAGAACTTGTATTTGGTTCATGTAAAGCATACCAAGCAATGCTATTTTTTTCCGGATCAAGATTTGATAAATCAACTTGAATCTGTAAAATAAAAAGAATTAGTTTTTGTAAAGAAAATAAATTCATCTATACATACATCTCCCATATAAGTTTGTTCATTTCCAAATAAAGGTGAATTATTTTTCACACTTATAAAAAGGTGTTGTCGATGAATGTCATTTAATGGCGCTGACCATTCAAATCTAAATATAATTAAATATATAATAAAAAAGAATAATTGTATGCCTCATACAAATCATCATAAACTGGACTAGTTGAATCATGAACAGATTTTGTTTTCTTTTTATCTTTTTTAAAATCTGGCATCAGATAAACACGTATATATGCATCAGGTAGACTTTGATTATGAACATGAATAAGATTTCTAAAATAAATAAATATGTATTATAAATAATTAATTGATATATAACTTACTTGCACGCATATATAGTTACAGATAAAGATTTTCGATTAACTGTATAACGAATACCAAGTTTTATTTGGCCAAATGGTGCTGATCTATATATTAGAATTAAATATAATTAAAATATAAGAAATATAAAATTACTCAAGATCAGGATCATCAGAAACCAAAAGAGTTTTATCGTGCGATGGTGTAAAGTGTTCAGATATTGGCTAGAAATAAAAACAATAAAGAATTCATACAGAAATTTCTGTTACATTAATAAACAGCTGTATGGGAATATAAATCTACATGATAAATAATATGTCATCTATAATTGCTGACAAGAGAAAGATGTAACATCTTGTTAATTGATACATCATACGATGTTTTCCTCTTTTAGCCTAAATCGGTTTCCTAGTTTCAAATTTTAAAGACTCGAATCAATCCAAATATTTGTCAGATCGATAAATTCCTACGATGTATTAACATATTTGTATAAATGACAGTTTTTTTGGTGCTAAGAGCGACAAACAATAACATTTGTTTGGTGCAACAGATGTTTTCGAGGTAATATTATTGTTAGATTGTGAAAGACTCGAGATGATATGTTATCATTAATATAAATGAATAGATAGAAGTACTGATTATATATTTTCAATCTCGTGAACTAATTTCGGCTATAAATATATTTAATTTTTAGTATTTACGTCAAGATGATGTTGATGATCTGAAGGTGTACGATCTATTGATGAATTGTGTTCCAATGATGATTTGTTTGATGATTCTGTCAAAGAATTTTGTTTTGTGAAACTATCAAATGATCGAAGGCTATTTGTTGGTGATGGTAATTGCACTGGACTAGAACTTGAACGTACAGGTGATAAAACCTATAATAATAATAAAAAAAATATATGATTATAAATTTCGTAAAAATATAGTTTTTTTTTACATGAAGAGATAAACGAAGAACAATTGATGCTCTATCTAAAGGTTCCGATGAACTTTTTAATGGAAATTCTTGTGAATCGATTGTCATATTATCCATATTTAATATTTGTTTGACTGGTATTTCGAAATATGCAATAACTTCATTATTTGAACGTGCATCATGTACTTGAATTTTTAATTGTTGTTGAATTGGATTTGAGCATAATATATGTGAGATATGTTCGAATAATGGATTTGTTTGAGATTCAAATGTATGAGTTTTAACTTCATTTGTATCAACTTGAATTGTACAAAATGGATTTGGTTCTCGACGAGTTTTCTTTGAACGCTAAAATAACAAAAGAATAGGTAAATATTTATGCAAATGAAATACATACAGGAAGATTAGTACATCGATCAATAAAAACAACAAGAAGAGCTTTAGATAGTTTTTCTTGTTTAACCATTTGATTATTAGTTTGTTCAATCTAAATTTTTACAGAAAAATAAATTTTAAGTAAAAAAATAACATTCAATATTTACAATATCAAGTGTAGATTTTTCTGTTGTTAATGTAAAATATTGAAGACAAACATTGATTGAACCTTTTTTAACATCTTTTAATGTTAACCACTACAAAATATAACAATTAAATGTTCGGAAATATATTAATAAATTTATTTACTGTAGTAACAGCTTCTTTATCAAGTAAAGTATTGATTGGAAATTGAGCTCTAGAAGAAAAGTAAGAATTTAAATTTTGATTAACATATTTTGTTTATGCTAATTATTTGCGTGACTTACAATTTTTTGTTCTTTGTTAAGGAAGGAATACACAAGGGTAATTTCGCAATTCTCTACAAGGTTTTAATTCTTATTTTGATCGATAAGAAGTTTCCATCAAAATCAAGAAGATTTCAAGGGGATTTATATTCATAGCTCTTCTTCTTTATTCCGTGTGTGATTTTATTGACATAAGTTTCAGTAGAGGAGTTCACAGGGGTGCAGAATCTTCTCAAAAACTAAAAATTTTCTCCCCGAAAAATGCAGTTTTTAAAAAATTTCCTCTCACGCACGAGGAAGATTCTGCACCTCTGCGGAGTTCAAGATTTCCTTAGTTTCGACAAGAACTGTATATAGTCAAAAGCTAGCAAATAATTGAAGTACATTGTTGTCGTAAAATGCTGATAGGTTATTGCTGTCATTGATAAATAAAAGATAATAGAAATAGTATACAGTTTGTTGACAGTTACTGCATCCTGTTTTTAACTGACATATTCTAATCAATATATATGTATACAAAAGAAGAAATTCATGTCTTCAGACTGATTATCGAACTCAAAATAAAATTTAGAGTTTAGTTGAGATACATCAAATCAGACAGCTTCTATTACGCTCATTCTCATCCTGTAATACGATATTTAACTTTCCTTAAGACTTCAGTTATATAGACAAATATAACCTACAGTTTTATAAAACTGATCTTCACATAGTAATGAATTTTTCATTTATAATTTACCTTCCAATAAAATCATCTTTACCCGGATCTTCATCATAGACTTCAAATTCTACTGAATCAGTTTCATTTTGTTCAATAACAAATTCAAATACCTTTTTTTCAATACAAAATATTTAAATATTATTTAAAAATAATATTTCATACATACTTCATTCCAATGTGGTTCGGATGTATTATTAATTGTTTTTGTTTTATATTCATTACCTTGAGCTATATCAACAAAGAAATCTTACAAAAAACCAAAACTCAACAATTAAAATATACCTTTAACTTTAACAAATGGATCACTTTTGCCTTTACCCAAAAGTGTAATATCCGATTTAACAAGATCACGTGCTTGAAGAACAATAACTCGAACAACACCCTATAGAAATAATAATTTACTTTAGATTTTATTAAACTAATGATTACTTGTGGATTCGAATAACGTAAATATCCAACTTGTAAATCAGCAACTAATGGGAAAACTTGTCGATTAGGTAATACCATCATTGATGCAACAATATCATTTATTTGAACAAGCATTAAATCACTATTTACAAAAAAGATAATAAATTATCTATTATATTCAATTTAGCCTTACTTAAGTCCAGGTATATCTACTAATGTTCCAGCATCGGTTAATTTAAAATCAATACTCTACAAATATATTAATAATATAAAATAGATGACAATAATATATTTTAATCTTACTGGTTTTCGAAGAAAAAAATACGTAACAGCACCAAATAATGGGATTGTATTAATCAATGGACTTAGAATAACTCTTAGATCACCAACAAATTGTATGTCTTTAACACCACATACAATTCCTTTCACCTTAGATTTGATATGTGCATCACCAGCATAACTAAATAAATAAAATTATGAAAGAAAGAAAAAATGAATTAAATTAACATACAAAACTTCAATATCCATCATAATTTGATCTCGAATATTATCAGTATAAACTTTCACACCACCAATTCTTGGTGGCTAAAATAAAAGAATGATTAGAAAATAGTTTCATATGTGATTATAATTTAACATACAATTTCTCCGAGATCAAGTTTTTCAAATGAAAAATCAGCTAATGCTGGATGTGTTCCACGTATCATTGGTACCATAACATCACGAAAAATTGCTTTATCAATATATTTATTTGCATATGGCCATGCTTGTTTAATTATTCGATTTACCCATTCAGCTCGTTCAACATCAGGAAAGAAAACCTTAAATTAAAATCATAAATTTTTTTCTACATTCACAAATTTTTCTCAAATATACCCATGATGGTAATTCTTCTAAACGAGCTTTTATATAATGTTCTTCATTCTTATTTATTTCAGTGAGCATTTTATGTCGTTCTTTAGATTTTGTTCGTTGATGTTGACGAAATAAATATATAAATACAATAAGTAATATCCATGAAACACTGAAGTGATAGTAACCTATAAAAATACAATGATGGTATTATCTCATAGAATTAATCTTGATATAGTTTATCGTTGATTTCAGAGGCGTAACGTCCTCCTGCTTTGAAAAAGTTTTTTCGTATTAAGTTTAAACAAAAACTCGTGCTGCGCTTCCCCGGCGCTCGATACGCCCCTGGTTGATTTTTAAACTTATAGTAATACGATAATTAGTTTTCATCTATTCTTTAAATGTAAATTTAATATATGTGTGAACTTTTAGTTAATTAATATTGACGATTAGGTGTCTGTTGAAGCCGAATTTTCTATTCAAATCTTGTCGAAAGAAAAATGGTATATGTATCATATATATTTCAGTCTTTTCCTAATGGAAGTATTGCAAATCGAGTATATCTAATGTAGACGTTTGTATTCAAACTGTTTTGTTTACAGAGATTTAGATGATTTAGTGGACATAGTCATGAAAAGAAAAGGTTAATTCGAAAGATTTTCAAATAGAATAACCGTTTGTTCTGCAAGTAATAGCTAAATTTTATCAATATGACCTTTATTAATCTGTTGACTAAGCTTTTGTGAATGTCTACTATTTATCATAAAACTAATATTATCACATTTCTTCCGTTAATCAATGTCATTAGTTTAGCAAAATTCATTAACTAATAAAATACTATAGTCTACAAATAATTTCTGAAAAGTTAGTTTAAGCCTATGTCAAGAGAAGTAAAAGAATTACTTTTTCTCATGATCATTAGATATTTCTAAAGAATCAAATTAAAATTATAGTTGCATAATAATGAAATTTTTACATACCGAGAATCCAAACAAAGACAACCAGCCCAACAATTTCGAGATATTTTTTTACCATATAAATTAAATCACCTTCCGTTGATCCTAAGCCCATTTTAGCTGTAGGCATTTGAATTTTACGAAAATCATTTAATATACTAGGACCTGTTGGTGATGATTTTTCAGAAGGTGTGTCGAATGAAGTACCAGTTAACTTCTGTTTTATATTCGCTGCAAGATTCTCCATAATATTCAATATCTAAAGTTAATTTAAATATATATGATTAGCGAGAAAATATTACATTCAAAAAAAAACAAATATATATATATATATACATTAATGCAGCATGTCAAATATGCAATCATACGTATCCTTATTAATATGACAATTTTTATTTCGAGTACCTCTCGAAATATTTATTCTTATTCATGATAAAGTTCAACAAGCGCATTAGAAATTATTTAAGTATTTTTATTTCCCTACATGTATTGAATGCTTAATAGCTTTAAGCGGAAACATACGTGACATTCTTTTTTCTTAAACAAAAATATGACTTACACGCGATCAATAGAAAATATGTTGAAAATATTTCGAATAAATCTACCTTAAATCAAAACAACAAAAAATAACTATTCGGGCATGACAGTTTGGTAAGAAAAATAGAAATATAATACATCAGTCAAGGTTAGACAAAGTATTTGCCTAACATTCTACGCAAGGAAAATGCATACAGGAATGAGAAAATGAGTCCATCGGGTCGTCTATTTGATTATATTATATCTGTAAACATGTAGGGGTCTACTATTTAATGTTGATAGATTCTATCGCAGAAGAAAAAAAACGAGAAGAATAGCAGAAAGAAAGAAAAAAGTAGTATGGATCTGACTCATTCGTGGTTATGATACGATCAGTTTTTGGGTAATGAGTTTGATTATTACCTACTTTCTTTCGTAGAACGTTAAAAAAAAATTCGCCGTCAATTACTTAATGAGCCAGTCATATATCAATAATAATAATTGGCGAAATGACTGTATTTTTTATTCTATTCTTATCTTATTGATTGATTTACGATAGAAAAAGAAAGATACAAAAGACTAGTTTAATATCATATCAATTTTCGAAATAATAAGAAAAATGTAATGAATATTTATTTTAAAAAATCGACAAACGTTTATTATTATGCTGGAATGTGAACATCAAATGAAATAAGACTAATATTTTTTTACAATCTACACGACTAGAAAGATATAAGACACATGAGAATATTCTTTTTTTCTTCTTCATATCTAATTATTATCTTTATTTAATGATGAACATAAACGCTTGTGAGTAGACCAACGTAAACGTTGACAATATTCGTTACAGTAATATACCTAAATAAAAGAAAAACTGAAAAGATTCGCTTATTAATATTGAGATAACGAACCGATTTGCATGCAGTACACCGACGAGTAGCGTTTGGTTGTGAACAAGCGTCACAGAGATGAAGTGTGTCATCTTCAAATGTACGTCCATTGAGCGTTGTAGTTAAGACGGTTAAAGCGGATGGATTTTGACCCTGATAAAAAAAAAGAATTTTTATAAATTCTAAGATAGACTTCATGTAACTTACTAATGTTATTGGAGCGATGAGTCTGACGAGTTGTTGAAGAAGTGGACATTGTTTATACGGAAAATTTCGAATTGTTTCTCGGATAAATTTTTCTTCATACATTTTAAAACCATCATTTTCATTTCCATGAGCAAATCTATAAAGTAAAGATTTATCGAAAAATCTCAAAAAAATATATCTATATACTTTTTACTTAATTCTCCACAAGTTTTTTCAATATCATCTGTATTTTTGTCAACTAAAATATCTATAAATGTTTTTATATAATGTGATTTGATTGCTAATATATCATTTGGTTCATTTGTATAAAATGGATCGAATGATTTTTGAATCATAAGTGCAAGTGTATTCGATAATCGTTTAAGATTTGTTTTTGGTTGATAGAATTCCGAATGTTCACGTATAATATTAAATAACTAAATCATAATAAAATCTAATATAAAACTTTTTTCTATATATTTACATATACATACACAAACAGGATTAAAATTAGTTGTAATTAATAGATGTTGAAAACCTTGCGTACATGATTCCGGTAATTTTCCTTCCGTTTCTTGACCTATAATCGAATTATCTTATTTGATGTGATTACACAAGAAAATTAACCTTGCGGAGTTATATAATATTTAAGATCATCAAGTGTTACATAATTATTTATTGTATCAACACATTGTTTTTGCCCAGTAAATGCAGCTAATTGAGATGCTGTCCGACCGATACGATTGATTTGATGAGTTTTAGCACCTGCTTCAAGAAGAATACGAACAACTTCCGTGTTACCTTGAATATTAAATCATATATTAATTTATAAATTAAAGAATATTTTTACCAGAGAGGGCGCCAAACATTAGAGCTGTATAACCTTGATCATGTTCATGATCATTAACATTGGCACCGTGTTTTAAAAGAAGAGAACATATATTTGTATGTGCTTTGTATGCCGCATGTTGTAAAGGTGTCATACCATGCTATGTTAAAGTAAAAAAAGTTAAAAATGTTTAGTTATTAAATATGTATATAAACCTCATCACGAGTATCAACAGGAACATTATTTTTCAATAAACGTTCGACATCTTCAAAACTACCTGAATAAATAAATAATTTAAAAATATTATTAGAAAAAAAGAAAGAAAATTTATACCTTCGGTAGCATAATCAATAATTGTTTTTTCAGTACTATCGAGTGTCATGTTAGGGATTAACAATAGAAACTTAATGCAATAGTTACAGAATAAAAATTTGGACCGGAAGCATTGGTAAAAAAAGATGGACTGTCAAAATAGAAAGATAGTTCAAGAGATGTCACAAGTAGACAATAATATGGTATAACATTAAATTTACTAATAATAGATTTTTATAATTTTCAACATAAGGTTTATTAATCTTGAATAAATATATTAATCAATAGTTCCGTTTATATATAGATTAGATATAAATAACAGTAAAATGGAATTAGTTTTTATAAATCACATAACTATTTATTCTCGATTTTTTTTCTCTCTATATGATATATTTTAACACATCATATAGTACAAAATTTTCAATCAAATGTGATTGAATAAATAAAACCTTGATTCTAACATAAATGTAATATATGATAAAAGATCTCTCGAAATGATAAGCAGATTTATTTCTTAATATCCGACACATATACTATAACGTATTTATGAGATATTGTAAGTAATTATCTAAAATCGCTGTATCTATAACTCAAACCAACATTGTTCACTTGCAATTGATTTAATTTGATGATCTTAAACTACTATCGGAATTTTGTTTTAAATCGAGGGAACATTTTCAGTGTTTTCTCTCGAATAGTGAAGGCTACAGGGCTGTAGCTGTCTTGGCTAAAAAGCTATAAGCATTTTGTCCGAATTCCGATAGTACTTAGTTTGTACGTTTACTCTTGATGGTCATATGTCAAATAGTGACTTAGTGGATTTAGCAATAAAAAAAAATTCGAGAATATGTATACGAAAAAAAAAGAAAGAGTAAACTGTTTGTCAATTCCTATTGTTAATATATAGAATTAGATCTTCACTATTTCACTTCTTGTAATGTATTGTATGTCAATAATTCTAGTTGATTTTTTGTTATTTTTAATAGGAGAAAAAACATGACAGGGGAAAAGTTTAACGTTCTTGTGAAAATAAACTCGAAAAAGTATATCTCCTTGTTCTTTGTTACAAAAAAAAGAAAAAATTTATAAATAAAATCACATAGATATATAATATATATATATATATATATTTCTCCTTATAATAAGGATCTATATGGATTTTGATCGATAATCTTGGGTGGCGATAATAAAGATGTTGGACGATTTTCAGCAACATCAAGAATTCTTTCATAGAGAGCAATAGTTTCAGGAGATAAACCAGCATTTAAAAGACGTTGTTCTAATCCAATATTATGTTTAACAAGTAATTTTTGATTATGTGTTGGAGTTACAACAGGTAAAGTTATACGTAATGGTATACTAGCATATGCTTGTGCAAGACGTGGTATATCAGTAATATGATTTGATGCGATATTATACCAATGCGTATTTGGTTTGAGTGCAAGTGAAAACGTATTTCCAGGTTTAGATGAAATATTCAATACATTTCTCAGATTCAAAGCATTATTGATAATATTAATATTATTATTATTCGCTATTATTGATTGTTGTTGTCGATAGTTTGATAAATTCTACAAATAAAAAGATATTATTGTTTCTCAATACTATCTCCTCTAGTATAATTACCTCATTTTGTGTTGAAATGGTTTTAACTGGAATTTTTGTAATATGTGTTGATGGTATTGCTGGAAATTGTTGTTTACGAAATTGAGCGTATGGGATCATCTGTTGTTGTTGTTGTTGTGGCGGTTGATAAGTGGTACCATTGATAGCAAGTGATGTTCTCATTGCAATAGGTATTGTCTTCGGACTAAAATGCATCCTTTTAAGAAATGGACGAAAAGCACTATGACTTCCACCACCAATGTGTACTGTTGTATTTGGTTGAGGTATTTGTTTCTGTGATTTATTAGCATTTGATGATGTATTTTTTTCATTCTTATCCGTAGATGATGGAATTGAAGCTTTTGAATTTGGCAAAGATAATGTTGGATTAGTATTATTCGTCGATATTGATTGAGATACTGTTGTATTTTGAGAATCACTCATAGAATTTGATTGCTCTTGTGATGAAAGTTGTGAAAGAATACTAGCAGTTTGATTACTTGATGTAGAGGGATTGCTTGTTGTTTGAATAGGTGTCATCGGTGGTAATGGTGCAAAAGAAACTACAATAAAACAAAAAATCGAAATTAAATTTTTTTCTATTAGAAGCTGTTAAATATACCTTTAAAATTACTCTTCCTTGATTTCATTGTACCCATTGTTGAAGTAGATATTGATTGTGTTAATATCGATTGTGATTGATTCGCCATCATTTTTGGAGCTGATGGTGTTGACATTGGTGTTGTAGATGTATCTGGTGATGATGAATCAGTTGGTGTTAAACCAATTCGTTTTAAATCATTAGCAGTAATAATTGTTAAAACTATCGAATGTGGTTTTGATTGAATATTTTCTTTGTTTCTATGTGAATTATATATTTGAGGAGTTTTTAAATGAGATATTGTTTTCGATGATAAATTTTTATTAGAAGAATTTATTACATTTCTTCGATTTATTATCATCGTTGTTGTCTTTCCAGGATGTATAAAACGTTTCGATCCATCACGAAAACGTACTTCTATCGGAGGTTTATGTTGATTTCCAGTCGCTGCTCGTTGCTTATAAAAATTGACTGGCGGTATTGAACGAGCACTAATAAGACCATTAATAGTCCCTTGTGTATTGTATATATGATTATGTAGTGGATGATGCATACTAACGAGCGATGTATTAAAACTACCTGACTCCTCATAAATTGTTTCTAGAGGAGCATTAGGTTGAGGTTTTAACACTACCATTATAATGTATATATATATCGAAGGAAAATAGATGACAACTTAAAGTTGTCGATCACTTATATATTTTTGATTAATTCATTATATTTATCATTCAATTAATTTCCTTTATTATAAGAAATTTATTTGTTATTAATATAAAAATCATCAAATCATTGTTCACTTTATTATTTTGTTAATAATTACTTGATTGCTAATATTTTCTATGATGATATTGATATTATTACTAAAAATAAAGAAAATAAGTGAATGAACGTTATTACTAATGTTCAAAAAAATCGAAAAATCCTATCAATTCTATTTATTTTGACGATTTAATAATTTATAGACAAAATACTTTAATCTACATAGCTGACACTTCACAACGCCTTTTATAATAGATACTTCTCTCTTCCCTCAGCGTTAACTAAAACAAACTTTAAAAAATGAACAAAAAGAAAAGAAACTAGATATCAGTAAACGATAATTACAACTTGCCCTTACTCACCATTTACCTTCAAATAAGCGTTAGATATACACATTTTGTGATAAAATAGGCCCCGTGTCTCACTTCTTTCTCGTTCTCTATTCTCATACTCACACTATCAACGTCGGCTGCTTGAATGACAAGATCAATATCTATATAATGAATGAACACAAACAAAGAAGAATGATTGGAAAGTAAAACCTCTGACAAAAAAAAACAGTATATTTATCCGTTTAATGCTCCTCGTATTTGGCCTATACAAATCATATATGTAAACACTCGCTATACAGAAATCCTTCATTATCGTCTATCTTTCGATTTTTTTTTCTTCATTGTAACAACAAGGGTTTTTTTTCTCTCACTCTCATGGTCATATCTATAACACAAAATAATGACTTGTTCTTGATTATAATTTGATTTGATTGCACCATTAAAAATGATTATATATATAAAGTAATGAAAAAAAAGAGTAACGTTGTCCTCCTTACAATCTAAATAATATGTATATACATATATATATCTATTAACACTTAATCGTATGATAATGATTCGCCTCTCTCTGTCTCTCACTTATTAAAAGAAAAGATGATAATAGTCATTTTCATTCTTAACGGTATATCACACTTTTTTTGTTTGAAGTATGACTTAGTTCATTAGAGTGAATATATGAAAGAGTTCTATTGCAAAAAATAATAAATATATTTTATTCTTTTAAAAAACTATCATACATTTTTTTCGTCCTTGTGATTTCTATCGAAATTAAAGTTTAGTATAACTCGTTGAGATATTAATAATACATTAACCTTGGACTTTTTTTTGTATACCAATGGATCTGTTTTTATTATCATAGACTATTTTTTGTATCGTTCTTGTTTACACCTATCTAGTACAGCTATACTTACAATAATCATATAGGTATGCAGCTAGGCTAGTACACATTTAATACCTATAGACAGTAGTCATACATTTACTTACGTAGTGGATAAAAATTTCCATGAAAACAAAAAAAGAGATAAGACCTTACCTTTATATATACTTCACTTAATTCAATACGAAATAAACGTTAGGTTATTAAGTCGAGAAACGAACTCAGATAGACAAAATATAATTCATGTAAGTCAAAATTTGTATTTATCACAAAATCTATGTATATATATATATATTGACTTAATTCTGTCCTTGTATTTGCTATACTTAATTAAGGGAATGATTTATGTTTATTTACTTCGATAATATCTGATAGCTTAGTTTTTCAAATTATCTAAATAACTAATTAGGTTATGATATATTTCAAGTTCACATCATTGTAAATAACTAAATATTATTTGAATACGTCTTTATTTTTATTGATAATCGAATAGAACACTTATTGGATGATACATTTGATTATACGAAGCAGGATTTTTTGCGAATTATTAATGGATATAAGCGTATCAAATGGTGAGAAGTAATTTACTTTTGAATGATGATGACTCATCCTTTTTTTATTGACTATTATTAATGATCAATTTATATGTACTAATTTCCTTTTTTCTCTTTATTATACATCAATCGAATGAATAAAATTAGAAAAGTATATCTAATAAATTAAAGATATTAATAAAATAGCATCGATCTAATTCAGTTAAAAAGATATAAATATTTCCTCTTTGAATTACAATGATCAAGGTTGTATTTATATTTATTTTCATATAATTTACTGAAATGATTTATGTCTATTTGTTGTTTTTATATTATTTATTTTTTATAATTAACTAGGTAATAAAATATGATTATCAGTCATTAAGATTTTATCTTCTGATTGTTTTTCTCGTTTATTTTTTGATTTTTTCTTGAATTGACTTTTCAATAGACGATAAAGAAGAATCACATTTAAAAATCCCATAGACGAAACAATCGTAACAGTATATGCTTTTATAACTGGATGAACACGTTCTCCTTGAATATATAATGCACGTAAACCAACATAAACAATACCAAAACGAAATAAAATAAATGTTAAATAATTCCCAATATCAATAAATATTTTAAGAAGATGATTATGATAAGCCGATTTAAATATTGGTGGATACCAACGTATAACTCGTCGAGCATGTAAAAATATACTATTTACTTCAATTGAAAGACCATATATAGCATAACCAACATTACGTGTATAATAAAGTACATGTGATAAAAATGAAATAACAATAAGATGATGAATTAAAATCGGAAATACAGAATCTGTTGAATTTTGTAAACAATCAACAAAATCATATATAAAATAACCCGTACTAAATGCAAGTATAGCATAATTAAAATGATTAGAATGTGATAATGGATCTTGAAAAATTCCAGGTGCACATATAATACCAATTAATATTAATGCTGAACAAATACATGCATGAATAAAACTAAGTAAAGTATTTTGATGTAACCAGTGAATTTTTTTGTTTTTATTCTTACCATTTAATTTTTGATTGCATATAGTAAAAAAATAAAATGTTAATATTATATAGAATATCATCCAAATAGGAGATATGGGTTCATATGGAAAAAGATCTGATTCATCAAAATAAATTTTTGTATGCATGTTCGTATGTGTGAAATGTAATGGATTTGCTCACGTTTTGTTTAAAATAAGTAGTAACGATATGACACATAGATTGTTTTGTCAACCACATCAAGTTTTACATTGTTGACAATATGTGCTTAGCAACAACATTCGTTTTCAAGTTTTTTTTGCGTTTCTTTTCAATTGCTGCAAGAAAAGAAGAGAACATTTTAAAAAGAATTATGAGTAAACAATCAAATCGTTGATATTAACTTAATGATTAATAATGTTTGTAGTATAGAACTTTTAAATATTGCACTCGATAACACTATTGCGTTCATTTAAAATGCAAAATTTTATTATGGGAGATTTATATGTATTCTTCTGATATACTTTATCAAGTATCATGACTTTTTAAATTCATCTTGTTGCATTTGAAGTACGAATATAAGAGTTATTTTGAAACTATGACTCATAAATGTAAGAGTAGTTATCTTTAGGGTAAACAAAAGGAGAATTTAATTTTTAAGCTTCATTGAATAGTATTACTCATGCATAAACATATCGGAATAAGTATCTATTGCGCCAAATAATATGATTATAGAATGATAGGTGTTATAGAGCTGAAATACAAATAAAGATATCTTGGCTTACTATTTTTTTTTGAAAGTAAAGGTAGATCTTCAAGCGTTATTAGTGAAGCACTATAAAATCAAAAGTAACATATATTCTACAATGAAATTTTTTACTATGTAAGTAAATAATTACTATTTGAAGGCTCTCATGATATTCATGACAGTAATATAGGATTAATTGTCAATTTATTTTTAAATAATAACTAATATACTTAAGTTTTTTAAAATGTCGCATCTATATAATCTTGACCAGTAATACCTAAAAATTCAATAGAAACAATTTCATAGTTCATATTGTAGTCAATATTGGACTTTAGAAAAATTTTCCCATCAGTCTTTGTTTGTAACATTAACACAAATGTTGAAAGTTCACTCGAAACTAACTTTATATTTTTTTTGTATCTTGCCTATTTGAAATGCAGTTTCCCACATATGATACTAAATTTTATGCATGCATTTTTTTT